CTCCAGCCCTCTTTAATCAAAGAAACCGAGGTTTGTGTCCAAGTAGTAGCAATCCAATTTCATCTACAAGACCCCAGTTAGGATCTTGGATTGTACACCGCCTACTCTGACGGTTTTCGAGGACTTTCTAATTCCCTCCAGTCAGTTTCTCGAGTAGTGTCTGGAAAGAAACTACTACTGTTGCCTTCTACGTCTTTTAGCATTCATGATTTATAACTATCCCGCCATTCTAAGCTACATAATATTTCCATTTGAAAAGCGGCATTAGATATCACGAAAATGAATCAAAAATCCAGTCGTAATTCGCCCAGAATTCGTAGAGGAATGACATCAAATAGCTTGCTACGACTATAGGTCGAATGTCGATTATCAGCAAGTGCTAAGGCAATGCGTCTAAAAAGGCTTTTATGGGTGAGAAGTCAAGGTTTTTACGGAACGCACTTACACGTAAGGTACAGTCATTACGCCCATGCCACCGTTGAAAAAAGCGTGTTTTAACATCAAACGGGGATAGCAGAGAAAGTTCTATAAATTTGCACAGAACTGGAGCCAGTTTTCTCATGAAGACGTTGACTGAGCCTCGCCTTTACTGCAACACGAAATTTCCATTACAATTTAAAATTGCATTAATATTTTAATGTGATTATATAATGAGAAACAGTATCCACTCCTCCGTACTTGGAAACAATTAAGTTGACTCTGTAACTCCATACGACCAAAGAAAGTGAAGTACTGAACATAAGACTTATTTATGAAATGCGTTTCAGTCACTCAAGCCGTTTGACTCAAACTGAATGTTTCCTTTGGGTTCTTTGAATGAAGAACATAACGGTGAATAATACCTATGTCTATCCGTACAAATTCTCCAGACCTAACTAAGGGGTTAACACGAAATTTGATACATAGCCTACACAAAAGACTGTTGTGCGAAATTTAATTGTTGTTAATATCTGTAAATTACAACTGTATTTAAATAAAACTAAGGTATTTTAAAAAATATATATAATGGTGAAAATGTGAATATGTCTTTCAACAACAAAATACTTGCTTTTATATCAAAATGTAAGGCTGTACAGCGCATCGTGTGTACTGGTAACCCTCAAAATCAACGAGGGATGCGACTGAAAAATTTTGTACTTCGGAAGGGAAAACATCATTCCAAACCAATAAAGGAATGACAAGCAATGAAAATGGTAATAACTCGAGACCGTCTACTCGTGTGAGGTACGGGTATCACACAAGTCAATACGACGGGTATAACTTGTGCCCTAATCCCAACAGTGTGATTCGCCATTATATTAGGGAATTTTATTCCTTAACGTGATATACATAGGACTTCTCTGAAAGAGTTACATATAAAGAAATTCTTAAAGCCCGTTTCGCCTCTTTTACACTGTACGTTCTCACTAGATTAGTAAAATAAGGTTTTCGTAATTCTTATGAATCCGTCATAATCACCGCATCCTTATTCACATGTATCACAATCAATTTCCGTAAATTTTCTTACTTTGTCTTCATCTAAATGTCATTAATTATAATTAAATCTTATATATTTATGGTAAGAGACGAATATAATCAACATTTAAGTCTCCATGATGCGACAGCAATCTGCTATCGTTTCCTAAGTTCCTTTACACGAAAGTTAACTTCTGAGCATAACTTAATGGAAGTAAAATGAAGGTCGTAAATGCGGGCTTCACTTTTAATTTGTAAATGCATTTTTTTCTGTAATCAATATATCAAAAGAAGAGTCCATTATAGTTTTGGGGGCATGCAGTGGGAAACGGACAAATCTTTATGATAAATATTTTGTATCCACTGTTGCGTCATCCAATTCAACGTCTTGAACTATACCTCAGTTCTTACTCTGGCCTGGATGACAAAAGTCGATAATAATCCATATTATGTGGGGAAAATGACCCTTGCCAACATCCCGAAACTCAGAATATAAAACGAACGTTGAACAACGGGGCACATTTTAATTTCTCATAAGTGAGAATCAGATTCAATAACTTCAGATTGAACCTATGTTTTAAGCTAGTCACATAAACACTTTTATAATGAAACTTAATTACGTCAGCTGTGTGTAGAGCTCGAACACTGTTCTATGAGTCAGAATTCAGGAAGAGTATCTATTCCATATATTTCACTTATTCCACTATAAAATATCTGTTTTAGATAGAGTCTGGACCAAAATGAAATTCAAGAGTAGCATTTATTCACACAATTTATACATAACGACGGAAGGTAAATCAACTCTTTGTGATGACTTACTCTGCAGAGCATAAACTATCACTCAAACCGAGGCATTAACCAAGTTGTAAAAGTAGACGATAAACATTTCGAAACTAAGTAAACACATGGGAGTTACGAACGTGTCATTTGGCAATATCTGGCAAAACTGCTTACTTTTTTGAGAAATGCACGTCTGGTACATCTAAACAAATTCTCTGTTCGCAAAGAGGAAACAAATATGGTGTACTAATAACGTAAAAAATTAAACTCCTTAATTACACCTTACTGACTATTTAAAATTCTCAGGAGCTTACTAGCTTCTATGTGGAGTACAAATAGTTTCGAAAGCATTTCATAATGCTCACCTTAGAAATCCCACAACACACGAGAATTGAAGCTCTACATATAGATTTACATACTGCTCTAGTTAGAAGTTAGCCAAATCCTTTCTACTCAGAAAAAGAGAAACATTTCTTCGAAAACGTTTTGATAATGAAATCTCAAAAGGAATTCATAAATCCATAAATGACCCTACATATTAATATTTCATCTTTCAGACTTTAAATCGAAAAACCTGAAAATAATTATTTCAAAACCTCATTCTGATAAAATACCATTGGGTGTTATCCATGGCACCATAAAATGATCTGTGATACTTTTATTGTGAGATTTGCGGAATGGTATTTAAAGTGTTATAAATATGACGTAAATATCTGTCATAACGAGGCTGTGATCCGTGTCTGAAATATTCTCCCTGTCAATCATGGGAACCACAGTCAGCATACCTGGAGGGGAGTAACAGAGACCTAGTAGTTAGTGATACACGCCAAAATATGGATCAGGTCTACCATACCGAGCTTAAATGAATCCAGTCCGGTAGTTTGAGCTTACTACTAGCGGACAGACAGACAGACATGACGGCACTAACAGGGAGTTTTCAAAATCCTTTTTCGAAACGAACTTTGAAAGCGGACCGACAAAATGAAAATATACTTATCTAAACTCATTAATGACATTTAGAAGTAAAAAAATACCGCTGTCATTACAGCAGGGTACCGTGCACAAATCAATTAATAACTGCCTCAAACAGAATTATTAGATTTTGTTGTAGACGTTTATAAAATCAGTGGACGACGTTGAATTTCCGGTTCTGATAACCCTGAAGTAACTCGTTCTAGAAGCAAATTACAGACGTCATGTGCAAGCCAGACATGTAGGACGGCAGGCATATCAGGTTTAAAGCTTAAAGTTACTCAGTTACTCGTTGCATAACGCCGTGCCACAGGAGATACACTTCAGCAAAAAATAATAGACAGTTTACTAGAAACCCATGTTACAAAGATTTGAATTAGACTCAGCAAGTTTACTGTCAATTAAAATACGTAATCATATTTAGGGCGTTGAGGTAAACCTGTACAAATTATTGATTTCAGCAGCGCATGAATGTGGGCTGCGCTTTCTCTCTAATACACGGAAAATTAGGATTATCATAACGATGTCTGCATAAAACCAACTATATTTTGCAAATGATCGTCATTTTGAAGCAAAACTTTAAGTCTGGAATTCAGTTACGGTAAAAAAAATATTGTTTCCGTTGCACAGACCCACATCGGACACCGCGAAGTCAGGACCATATGCGCCCTTGAGCCTTTTCATATTTCCACTAACAATCGATTTAACGACAAAAGCAACGCGCTGTTTCCTAAACCAATTAACCAAAGCCATCAACAAGCAGGCCAATCCTCAGTGGTCAGTTTTTAAATCCCTTAGGCAGTATTAATTTGCAAATAAAACCACAACCACAGAACAACAAACCCCAGAAAAAGTTTGATGGTTTTATATTTTGTCCACTGGACCCAAGGTTCGAGGGTTCAATTCCGGCCGAGGTCGATGGATTTTAAAGGGTGATAAAAATCCGTAGCACAACTTCCTTCCGAGGGGAAGTAAAGACTGCGGTCCCATGACGTAGATTTACGGCATGTAAAAGAAACTTGCCAGTATGATAAGAGATGTTTCGTAAGCAAAATTCAGCGGCCATTTCTCCTGATTCACTGCTTAACTGCTAGATGGCTTTGGCAGTCAAATGAGGAGTGAGTAGAATTTGTGCAGAGTCAGTGTGTTAGTCACTCACTACTGTTAAATGCACGCTTTAAAGACTATGAAACCTCCGAAAGGAGGCCCTTTTCTCCACTTTGGAGTTACAGGAACTATCTATCCATCTATCTATCTATCTATCAATTACACGACATTTCTTACAGAACAGCTAATATTTACTGACCTAAAAAAATCTGCCTCCATCTATGCTACAGGATTGTCCTGGAAAATTTGACAGTTGCTTATCAGGTCAACAGATTCCCCAGTTCACACAGCTCAGAGTTCCATTAGAATTTCCACAAAAGCTGGCCACTGCACTAAATACCCATCTTAGTATTATCGTTCACGGTTTTCGAACCACAAAATCAAACGCAGCTTTTCTTTTATCCCATGCTTTCTCCATACCCTGTCAAACTATTTTCCCTTGATTTGAGAACTTTACAAATATCAGTAAAGGGCAACTTAGGAAAACTAGTGAAAATGTTAAGTACATAAAAATGGCCAACAATATTGTCAGATACATACAACAAAAAGCATTGGAAACTTTCTCAATATTTATAATGTCAAAGACAACAATAAATTGTGTGCATGTGTCCCTGAAAAGGAAAAATAACACACAACACATTGAACAGCAGCTCACATACAGAACCACACAACAACTGCCCTCTTACCTTGTACAGACGCCCTCAGATTACTTGAATCTTATTCCAGATACGTCACATAGCTGTCTACTTCGTGCACGAAACTTCTTCTTCCCGAAATTGACAGAGTTTGAAGTATCAAAATGTTTTAAACTGATAAGCTTCACAGTCTCTCACCAGTGATGACGCAGCTCACAACCCACATTACCAAACTTACATTTGCACTATTTTATCAGTTCATTTATATGTATGACTACTTAAAATGACCCCTTAGGTTTGTAGAGAAGTAGATTTTATTATAAAATTTGTAAGTTTCGTTTGCCTACTTCGTCTTTGACAAATGTCAATATCAGAGTCAACGTTTCGGTTTAACTTTACGTTGTCATGTGGAGAAAAAGCTTTTTCTTCTTGCAATTAGCATGTTGATTTAGGCTAAATGTCTCCGTGTGTCGTCTCATTGTGCAGTTTAATATGTAACAGTACGCAATGAAAGCAGAAATTAAGCTTCACACTATTAAGTCAAACTGACAGTATGCATTATTACAGTTGATATAGATGGGGCTATAATTCTCTACACTACCTAATTAGTATTGAAAACTGACGTTTTACTTCCAAATTGTATGTTGCAAAAGCCCGTTAACCTTATAAAATTCTTCCATGCCTGTTAACTCCAGAATACACAGTCTTCCACGCCTTTGTGTAGCGTATGTCCCTTTTATATCATTTATACACGCATGCACGTAAAATGATATGAATAACTTTACGCATTTTAAATTTTGCAAGAAAGGTTCTTAAACCACAAAAATACAGAACACACTTTAAACTTCAGTATCTATTGAAGTCGGGTAATAATCTTTACTGTTTATCACCACTCAACACCAGTTCAGTGTAAAATAAGCTGCGATGATATTTATGGATTACTTTACACTGGAATGTCAGATTATAAGGAAAATAAATTAAATCTCCTTACTTAGATTGATACTGTTACGTAGTAATTATGATCTTGATTGTTCCAAGCAACGAGGTTATATTTCACAACATTAGACCAACAAAATGTCAATAAATAAATAAATATCAGTAACATATATTCACTTGATTTACATCCATAAATTATAAAACTTAAATGTGTAAATTCGTACCTATGTTTACAAAGAAGTACATGTTCTTTGAAAATTGTTAGAATCTTTTTGCACGAAGCAAGAATAAATTGTTTCCTACCCTAACATAGCTTGTTAAAGAGCCACTGAATTTTATACGAGTTTTAAGTAACATTGCTTAATAACTATGTCACGAAGCTTGGCTTCCGCATTGGACACACGCATCACGTGGTAAATACACTGCCACGCCGGGCATCTGACTGAAATTCTGCTCAAGCCAGGCCGTCCTGTGTATGGTTCGATCCGACCAACCGCCAAGCAGCTCTGCTGACGTCACCGTTATTACGTACACTTTGACGTCACAAACAGATTGGTAAAATGTTAATGGGGGGGGGGGGGGGGGGGGG